GCGTCATGGCCGCTTATCGAAGTTGTCCACCCGGCACACGGATACACAATTGGATATTTGAATATAAAATTGGTTATACGGCAGCCACAATAATAATTCCAATATCAACAAAAAGCTTATAAAGAACTCTTTATGAACATCAATTATTGGCAGTATATTTTGTACCAAAATAACAAAATTTGGAGCCATAACTCGCTTACATGCAGAAAAATCACTGTTAGATTAGAGTCAATTTTATTAATTTTGACAAAATATATTTCGAAATGGAAAATACATTCTGAACGCACGATAAAATTTCAAATTTCCTTTCGATTGAAATGTCACACAACGTGCTACCTATAATTGGTAAAAAGTTATAAGCGTGCCAAATAGCCAGTATTTAGACTTATTTTATTGTTCTACCAATACGGCGCCGCGAACCTTCAGGGTGAGCGAGTAACTTCGCTCAGAGCCGTCAGAGTTCAAAGAGTTAAGCAACACTAAGTCACAAATCAGACATTTGTTCTAATGCAGCAGTTGCTGTAGTTTCATTGAAGTCAATAGAATAATGACGCAATAAACGTCACTCATTATTCCCTAACTAAAAGATTTCTCAAGCTATGTGTGATATTTCACTCAACCTAATAAGCTAAAAAAATAAGATATTAAAATAAGACTCGACTTAAAGCAAAGTTATGCCTTTTGGGACGGAATTATTTCATAATTTTGCGTCAGGTTAGAGTTAATTTTGAAAATTTCACTAAAGTAAAATTCCGGGACATTTTGCTAACCGGGACGGGACACCGGGAAAGGCGTTCAAACCGGGACTGTCCCGGCCAAACCGGGACGTATGGTAGGTCTACCCAAGGTTATATCCAAAACTATGTCTTTGTATACCGTATTTTAGAGCGTTTGTACTACAAAGCGACATGTGTTTCATTTCTGACAACCAAACCATCGACCTCTTTTCCAATACAAATGGAAAACCTATGTTATGCACGGTAAAGCGAGCACGATTCTTTCTACAAACTGAATTCATTATTAATTGGATGGATAAAATCAACCCTCCATCGTATCTGACAAAGCGGACTCAGACTATATATGACGTAATAAGTCCCGTCTGCAAGTTTGCAATTTTATTAAGGTGAAATTTACCATAACAGTGTACCAAGTTCCAGATAAGTTTCCGGTGAATTATTGGAATACAATACGATAGCGAAAAATTTTTTCTGTTGATCCTCTAATTCTGGCCAAAAGATAACCGGGTAAGAAAAGAGAAAATCATGATTTATTTTTGTAGCCACAATTTAGCAAAACTAGCAACACGGGTTATAGCTATGCCTAGAAACTGTCGGCAAAAAACAGAGTTTTTTTGCTCGAACATTATGTGGTGATGGTTGAGGGCAATGTTGAAAATGGCGAAAAGTTTCAGACCTTTATCTTGAGGGATTCTTGGAGAAAATAAAGCCCAAACTATTTGGGCTACAGCATTATGTCGCCCCAAAATTCCCGTCGCCCAAATACAGCAAAAATAAACCCGTGTTGTCGACCAAATCGATAAAATAGAAATACATATATACGTATGTATATTTCAAGGCCATATAATCGGGGTATGACATGCTTTCAATGGATTCGGAGCCCCCGGGGGTCGATTGTATTGAAATTTCAGCTATTTAGCGGCGAGAAACGATTTTAAAAAAATGTTTTTTCAAAAACTTGAATATTGTTCAGTTTATTAGGCGTTTTGGAAGGCCTGGGAAAAAAAGCTTCAAAGTTTTTGCGTTCAAATTTTAATTTTTTTAGAGCTCGGATCTGGATTCAAAATCAAAAATTTTCAACCCGAAGTCGCAGTCAGAATCGATTTTAAATTTCCGCCGAATTCACTGCTCTGATGTAAAGTACTGAAAATTTAATAGCAATAAACTTCACCAAAACGTTTATTGAACTAGTGTTCATCGCTTTAGTAACATATCTTTGTTTGCAATTTTTGTTATTTAAAATTGAAACAACATTCAACGTTTGAAATTTGTAAAAAATTTTTTTATAATTTCTTGGGTATACTTTGCTTTGAATTGTTCACAAATCCTAAAACTAACAGAACTTTAAACTTTTACAACCATTAGTGAAATTCATATACGTCGAACTGAACCTCTAATATTAAAGTTGAATAGACATGATTAACTTGGAAATGATATCATCAGAGCCGTCTGTGATTTTCAGAGAAGAAAAAGAATTTCACGATAATCCTCCGGCAGGATTCACCAAAGGGGAAGATGGCAACTTGCGCTTCAATCCAGATGACGTTAATGTCTTTGAAAATTTTGCAATTGCTACTTCGAATCCCACTAAAACATTTAAAGTAAAAACTTTAAACGAACTTGAATCTCTGAAGACCAAACTACAACTTAAACAAATTTACATAAGAATGCATATTGGGGCAGGTAGAATTGGCTGCTGTCAACATATTGAACATCGATCGTTTATCGTTGAAATTAGAGCTGGGAATCCGTCAATTGCTAGTCAACTTCAGCAAAGTTTTGCCGATGCAGAGGAATTCATCAAAGAAGGTAAACGCTTTTGCGTCAGGATTGAATTTGGCATGTCTTAAATCGGATGGTTTTCTGGTCTTCCTGAGCAAAAAGATATGATGTGCTTTTCAAATACAGACAATTGTTTCTATTTGACAAATTTTAGACCTCGATTCGAAAGACTTTATACATTGAACATGATTGCGCTAATTGCGCAAGTTCCCATCGCTTTGATTTTTGCGGTACCCTATTATATTTATCGCGCCGTTGCTGCTACTGATTTTCAAATTGAAATAATGTGCAATTGTGTCTGGGCAAGCAATGAAGCGCACGCGATATTACCGAGATTAAAGCCTTCGGTTTTGTTTCGACAAAATACTTCCCCTTTAAAACAAATGATTTTCGTAATGATCACAAGTTCAATTAATGATAAATATTTTTAATTCATTACTGCATGTTTACATATTTATTATTTTCTTAGTGTATTTGGTGTATTTATTATTTCCATGCGTTAGAAAATTTTGTACAAATATAGCAAGTTTATAGTACGTTTGTTAGCTAAATATTTGCAATATTTCTTACACAATATTTTAATGTTGTAATGGAATGTGCTATTTTTGTACTCGAGTGTTCAAAATAATACATTAGTTCAAAAATAGCGAGGCAAAACATTAATATTGAATTTAGTCGTCTTTTAAGTAGTTATTCAATGTCGAAACAATGTGTTTTATTTATTTTCAGTTTGAACGAGAAAATAAAATTTTACTCTCCGCAGCCACATACTTCGTAACCAAATTTACAGACGAAAATGGGTTTTTTAGGAATCCACCAACTGAATTTACAAAAGAAATAGATGGAAAGTTAAGGCATAATTCTGCCGATGCCCTAGTTGTGTGTAAAGCAGGAGACACATTTGCAAAGTCTTCCATAATACTGAGGGTGGGAAGTATGAAAGAGTTCAAACGCATGAAAGACTGGGTGCGTAGTAAACGGATCTATATGAGAATACGAGTTAGATCAAAACGAGCACTTTGCAAGTGAGCACGATACAACCGCTTCAATGTTTGAATCAACTTGGGACATTCGGACATGTACGATCAAATAAAGGAAACGTTATCAAAAGCTGAAAAGTTAATTCAACGAAGAAAGCGCTTTTCAATCGAGATTGGCTTTGCGTCTGCTCTCGTAAATTGGTACGCGAATCAGCCGGGACAAGAAGGCTGTTTTTGCTTCTTGACAAAAGGCAGCTTCTGGTTGACAAACTTTAGACCTCGTATTTAAGCTTGCTACACTGACAATAAATATACAACGATATTCATTGCGCCGATCAACATAGTTGGAATATTGGCTGTATCGATACATTGCTTCTGAAGATTTTCAACTTTGTCTTAACTGCATATGTGCTTGGACAACTAGTTATCGTAGCTCATTTACAGAATCTCGGTTCCTTTGTTGGCATTTGAAGATGGTGAAAGTATTTTACTAACCTTCAACATTATTCAGTTTACATGTCATTGAAAGTTTAGAATTGTACATTTATATTTGAGATATTACAGTCACGTTAGTAATTTTTTTTTTTATAATTTTTCAATGACTATTTCAGTCTATGCTTTGTTAAATACAATTCTTGTACAAACTAAAATAAATGAACAAAAATTTATTTTTTCCGGGGAGGAATTTTGTCGTTTCTGGAGAAGAATTTTGTGTTGTATTTACTGTAGTATTACTAATATTGTTTATTAATATTATAATACTTACTCACATCATCAACTAACGTTTACTGATCAATTCATCTCCGTGTTTGTCTCAATGGATTTAATTGCTTTTTCAAACTGTTTTGATAGATCGCGAATTTTGATTATAATAATAACAGCACCAACAACGCAACTGATTATTCACTAATGCCATATCTGATTTAAAAACGGAAGACACGCAATGGAGGTAAATATTAATGCAAATACTTAGAAACATAACGCAATAGGTATTAACCCTATGTCTTCACATTTATATATACTAATATTACCTTTATACCATCCTAACTTTGCAAGATATTGATACAATTGTAAGTATCACATTTGATGATCGATGCCAGTTTCAGTGCAAGAATAGTGAGTATGGGTCAAAAGTGGGACAAATTTTTTCGTATGAACAACTATTTTGAGTCCTAAATATTATTTAGTTTGAAAAATTTATAAAGATACGTATAAAAATATATTTGCTAGACAAATAACGAATATATGCGAATAAATTTCATTATTATCTACCTCGGATGCCATTAGTTATCCAAAATACTTAGGCATACTAAACACAAAAAAATATTTGAAAATTATAGTTCTAATGCGCTACAGCATAAATTATTTCAAACAAAGCTAGAATGTAATTGTTTTCATTGTTAAGCACAAAATAGGACGTTTGTGTTGAGTGTTATAGATTCCTTTGCTGACTCTACATATTCAGTACGGAAGCGTAGAAGAATCTATTCCATTTGAAAACCTTCGCAAACACAAAGAGCAATTATTTTTTTTAGTTGGATATTTAATATTCAAATATTTCCCACTTTATTCAAACAACCGCTTCATTTGCCTTAGTGTATTTGCCACTATGACCAACATCATTTGTTGTTTTTGATGTGGGAATTGGGTTAAACTACCGGTGTTTTTATTTATTCGGTGGTGCAGCAAACTCATCTAGATTCATGAGTCATTAGGAGCAACAAAGAGAATAAAATGCATTACCTGTGGGATAATATGATGTTATCTTGAATTGCGAGGACCTGATAATTATTTGATACTGGGAATGCTATCGGTGTTGCATTGCATTCTTAATTAAGTCTTTTGCGAACAGTCTGAAATTCTGATATTTATAAAATAATTTGAAACAATGTTGATATTTTAGAACTGGAGAAGTCAAGGTTGCGAGTTAATGGGATGTTTCCTGCAATTTTGTCGCGCGGACTTGCGTTTTTCTTGCTACTGCCACTTGCATTTTTGGGATAACTCCCGTGAGATTACCTCCAGACCTTCAAACCCGTAATATTTGAAACGACAATATTTTAACGGTGACGGGCGTTAGTTACAGCATAAATGTTTAATTTCAAAACTGACATCTTGTTATATATATTAAAACACTTATTCAAATCGACTAATCGGTATTTCTTCTATCACAAAATGTGCGGCATTTCACGCATTTAATTCATTGATCAATGCATATATATTATATATATATATACGTATGTATATTTCAAGGCCATATAATCAGGGTATGACATGCTTTCAATGGATTCGGAGCCTCGATATAAAGCCTGAAACCCCGGGGGTCGATTGTTTTGAAATTTCAGCTATTTAGCGGCGAGAAACGGTTTTAAAAAAATGATTTTTTAAAAACTTGAATATCGTTCAGTTTACGAGGCGTTTTGGAAGGCCTGGGAAAAAAGAGCTCCAAAGTTTTTGCGTTTAATTTTTAATTTTTTTAAAGCTCGGATCTGGATTCAAAATCAAAATTTTTTACCCGAAGTTGCAGTCAGAATCGATTTTAAATTTCCCCCGAATTCACTGCTCAGATGTAAATTACTGAACATTTAATATCAATAAACTTCAACAAAACGTTTATTGAACTAGTGTTCATCGCTTTAGTAACATATCTTTGTTTGCAATTTTTGTTCTTTAAAATTGAAACAACATTCAACGTTCGAAATTTGTAAAATATTTTTTTTATAATTTCTTGTCTATACTTTTCATTTTTCACTCCCAAAATTGTTCACAAATCCTAAAAACTAACAGAACTTTAAATTTTTACAACCATTAGTAAAATTCATATACGTCGAACTGAAGCTCTAATATTAAAGTTGAATAACCATGATTAACTTGGAAATGATATCATCAGAGCCTTCTGTGTTATTCAGAGAAGAAAAAGAATTTCACGACAATCCTCCGGCAGGATTCACTAAAGGGGAAGATGGCAACTTGCGCTTTGATCCAGATGACGTTAATGTCTTTGAAAATTTTGCAATTGCTACTTCAAATTCCACAAAAATATTCAAGGTAAAAAATTTAAACGAATTTGTATCTCTGAAGACAAAACTGCAACTTAAACCAATTTACGTAAGAATGCATATTGCCACACGTATCTTTGGCTGCTGCAAAGATACAGAACATCGCTCGTTTATCGTCGAAATTAGAGCTGAGAATCTATCGATTGCCAGTCAACTTCAGCAAAGTTTCGCCGATGCAGAAGAATTAATTAAAGAAGGTAAACGATTTTGCATCAGGATTGAATATGGCATGTCTTTAATCAGATGGTTTGCTTATCTTCCAGAGCAAAAAGATATGATGTGCTCTTCAAATACAGACAATTGTTTCTATTTGACTAATTTTAGACCTCGATTCGAAAGACTTTATACAGTGAATATGATCGCGCTAATAGCGCAAGTTCCCATCGCTTTGATTTTTGCGGTACCCTACTATATTTATCGCGCCGTTGCTGCTACTGATTCTCAAATTGAATTGATGTGCAATTGTGCTTGGGCAAACAATGAAGCGCACGCGATATAAGGAAGATTGAAGCCTTCAGTTTTGTGACGACAAAAAACTCTCCGTTCAAACCAAATAGTTTTTATAATGATCACAAGTTCAATTATTAGTAAGATTTTCAATGTTTTCTGCATGCGTACATATTTATTATTTCCATTGTGTATTTGGTGTATTTATTATTTCCATTATTTCCAAATATAACAAGTTTGTATTACGTTAGTAAGCTGAATATTTACAAACAATATTTTTTATTTCAATGAGAAGTGCTATTTTGTATCTGAGGGATCAAATCAGAGATAACAAAGGTATACGTAAAAGGATAATCTGATATTTATGCAGTTTTATATATTTGCAAATGTTTGCCAGTAACAGCAGTAGGCACCCTTGGCGTTTTATGGTTAAATCTAAGGTCGACTCCAGAAAATATTTTATTCTATGATACGTTTATAGTATTGGAGTGACGTACAAAAAGTAAAATTACAAATCCACTTTATGCATCTGAGACATCTGCAAAGTGCTACACTTTTAGTGAATTCACCTAAAGTTGTTTTCGCCGCGATGTCATGACTCAACGGATACTCAGTAACGGTGACGTCCGGTTCATATTTATTTATTGGATGGGAAACCTCGAAATTTCATCAAAGATATTTGCTTAAGTTATTTTAGAAACTGGTTTCACCACGCAAGTTTCGTCTAAGCTTACGTAAAAAAAAATAGTTGTATTGACTTTTTTCAAATCTCAATAAATGGCTAAAAAATACATTTAAAATATCATATTTTTTAAATTGGTGACACAAGTGGCTATGTAGTCAACGAAGCATAATTCCATATACACAAACTCAGATTTTTTTAAAATACGACTCGTGGTTTGTTACAAGTAGTTTCAAATAGTCCATAATTGAGATTCCCCATCATTGCATTGTCCTGGTGCGCATCATCTTTAGCATATCTTCAAAACAAATATCAGCGGAATCTCTGACAATGAGTCAATCAGATGAGCAACAAACAGGAAACTAAACCAGATCGACTCCTTTCTTTATAACCTGGGAAGTTTTTGAAGATAGGACAAAACTAAAAAGTCTATGCTACAAGCAATCGGATAATACAAAAACCATTTTTAAAGAAAAAATGCGTCAAAATTCTGATTACTGGTTGGTATGTATTAAGCATGAGTGGCCAGACAATTCATGGCCTGATTTACGAGAGTAGATATTGTGACTTTTTTGACTTTAATATTGAAAAAGGACTGTCTCGATGATTATCATCTGGCACCGAGTGAGAGCCAGATTCGCAAATTGGCTGCATATTTTGACAGCTCTTGTTTGTAGGCAATTCCTCATTTTTAGTTACTAAAATTTAAAATATATTGCAGATTACAAATTTTTAGTCAGAGTTTTGGAGAACCTGTTTGCAATGTAAAACAGAAGGATAATACAAACAAACGCAGGCAGTTTTTTGTATTTGTTATCACGTTGCATATAAAGTATATTTGTCTAAATCATTTTATTTCAATTTTATTTTGTCATTTTATAGAAAGCAATACTCGATGAAATGAAAACATGAAACTCTACTATTTGTGATAAAATTAATTTTTTTTCTCATCTTATCCGTAATGTGTTACACAATTTATATTCCTATATTCATAGAGGAAAAATGGCTAATTAAAGTGAAGTTAAAATACTCGTATATATGTTTATTATTATCAGTTAAATCAGCATAATATAACTAAGCATTAGATTTAAACAGTAAGTAAAAACAATGTCATCACTTTTTACAAATGGCTTCCAAAGCTGACTTTACATCTTCAATATTGACGCGCAGTCTATTGCATTTAAAAACCTGCCCAAGTTCACAGAGCAATCATTTTTCCAAGTGGAATATTTTAAAATCAAATGTTTTTTCAATTTATTCAATTAACCGCCTTGTTTTCTTTAGTGCAATATTTTCTACGATGCACAATATCATGCGTTATTTTCGATGTAGGCATTGGGGTTAGTGTTTTTATATATTGAGTGATGCAGCAAACTCATCTATCATCAGGATCAACACAAAAGAATAAAACTCATTGCATGTGGCATAATATGTTGTTATGTCGAATTGCGACGAACCAGATAATTATTTGATACTGAGAATGTTATGGGTGTTACATTGCATTCCTGATTAAGCCTTATACAACTAGTTTAGTTTCTGATATTTATAACATGCTTTGAGACAATGTTGATATGTATATTTAGGACTGAAGAACTCATTAGACAAAAATTGCTGTTGCTTAAAAGTGGTCAAAGGTTGAGACCTAGTGGAATGTTTTTTTTTAAGTCTAGCGGGCTTGAGTTTTTCTTGCAACTGCGACTGGCACTTTTGCGATGAGGAGAATTGTGCCATACCTCCAAATCCATAATAGTTTAAACGACATAGTATCGGCGTAGACGGACGTTAGATACAGGATAAATATTTGAATTCCACACTGCCGCCTCGTTTTATATATAAAAACTTCTTCGAATCGACTAATGTGCATTCCTTTTATATTAAAATATGTGCAGCATTTGAGTTCAATTCATTGATCAATATATATCTATGTCACTGTTTAATGTAGGACTGTAGAGTCGGAGCCGGGTTAGGACATGCTTTCAGGGAGTCGGAGCCTTGGTATAAATTCTGGATCCCCAGGATCGATAGTTTCGAAATTTCAGACATTCAATGGTGTCGAAATGTTCAAAACGGTAAACTAGTGTTTGAGTGGTTTAATAACATATCTTTGCTCGTAAATTTTGTTCTCTGAATTTGCAACCAAGTTCAACGTTTAAAATTTGTAAAATATTTTATAAAATTTATTGTCCATACAATTCATTGCTTATATACCCAAAATTGTTGACAAAAAAACTAACAGAATTTCATACCTTTACAACGTGAGTGAAACTCACATACGGTAAATTGGACATCCATTAAACTTGAATAACCATGATTAACTTGGAAATAACGTCATCGGAGCCTTCTGTGATTTTCAGAGAAGAAAAAGAATTTCATGAAGGAAGGAAGGAAGTTGCCATCTTCCCCTTTGGGATTCACTAAAGGGGAAGATGGCAGCTTGTCCTTCAATCCAGATGACGTTAATGTCTTTGAAAATTTTTGGAAGTTTGGAAATTTTTTTACGTTTGTTAGCTAAATATTTGCAATATTACTTACACAATATTTTAATTTTAATGTTGTAATGGAATGTGCTATTTTTGTACTCGAGTGTTCAAAATAATACATTAGTTCAAAAATAGCGAGGCAAAACATTAATATTGAATTTAGTCGTCTTTTAAGTAGTTATTCAATGTCGAAACAATGTGTTTTATTTATTTTCAATTTGAACGAAAAAAATATATTCTACTCTCCGCAGCCCACATACTTCGTAACCAAATTTACAGACGAAAAAGGGTTTTTTAGGAATTTACAAAAGAAATAGATGGAAAGTTAAGGCATAATTCTGCCGATGCGCTAGTTGTGTGTAAAGCAGGAGACACATTTGCAAAGTCTTCCATAATACTGAGGGTGGGAAGTATGAAAGAGTTCAAACGCATGAAAGACTAATGCGTAGTAAACGGATCTATATGAGAATACGAGTTAGATCAAAACGAGCACTTTGCAAGTGAGCACGATACAACCGCTTCATTGTTCGAATCAACTTGGGACATCCAGACATGTATGATCAAATAAAGGAAACGTTATCAAAAGCTGAAAAGTTAATTCAACGAAGAAAGCGCTTTTCAATCGAGATTGGCTTTGCGTCTGCTCTCGTAAATTGGTACGCGAATTAGCCGGGACAAGAAGGCTGTTTTTGCTTCTTGACAAAAGGCAGCTTCTGGTTGACAAACTTTAGACCTCGTATTTAAGCTTGCTACACTGACAATATTTATACAACGATATTCATTGCGCCGATCAACATAGTTGGAATATTGGCTGTATCGATACATTGCTTCTGAAGATTTTCAACTTTGTCTTAACTGCATATGTGCTTGGACAACTACTTATCGTAGCTCATTTACAGAATCTCGGTTCCGTTGTTGGCATTTGAAGATGGTGAAAGTATTTTACTAACCTTCAACATTATTCAGTTTACATGTCATTGAAAGTTTAGAATTGTACATTTATATTTGAGATATTACAGTCACGTTAGTAATTTTTTTTTTATAATTTTTCAATGACTATTTTAGTCTATGCTTTGTTAAATACAATTCTTGTACAAACTAAAATAAATGAACGAAAATTTATTTTTTTCCGGGGAGGAATTTTGTCGTTTCTGGAGAAGAATTTTGTGTTGTATTTACTGTAGTATTACTAATATTGTTTATTAATATTATAATACTCACTCACATCATCAACTAACGTTTACTGAAACATTCATCTCCATGTTTGTCTCAATGGATTCACTTGTTTTTTAAAATTTTTTGATGGATAGCGTGTTTCGATTACAATAATAACAATACCAATAACGCAACTGATTAATCACGAATGAAATATCTGATTTAATAACGGATGAAAGTCAGTGGAGTGAATTATTAATACGTATAATTAGAAACATATCATAATAAGTATTAACCCTATACTTTCGTTTTTATAAACTAATACTGTTATCTCATTCTAACATTGCTTCACCAGATATTGATATTGATGTAAGTATCACCAAAAAAAGATAACATTAATTTGTCATCAATACCAGTTTTAGTGTAAAAACATTATACAGGGTGATTGAAAGGTAACTCCCTATTTTAAAAAAACTATAGTTTATTTTTAAAATATAATTTCTACAATTAATGAATATGAGAAGGAAGTATAATGCATGGGCTTATTGAAAAGTAACTCCCTATTTTAAAAAAACTATAGTTTATTTTTAAAATATAATTTCTACAATTAATGAATATGAGAAGGAAGTATAATGCATGGGCTTTTATTTAAAATTCAATATGGGCGCCTTTATTTGCCACCAGCTTCTCAAGTCGACCAGGAATCGCATCAACTGATTTCGCAAGAAACTCTTGCGGGATGGAAGTCATAACTTCACGTATTCGCCCCTCAAGTTCTTCCAAATTTCTTGGTTTGGTTGAGTAGACTTCCTCTTTCAGCCAACCCCAGAGAAAAAAGTCGCAGGGTGTTAAGTCAGGACTTCTGGCAGGCCATTCGTGCGAACCGCGACGACCCATCCATCTTCCAGGAAATTGAGCATTTAGCCATTCACGAACAACAATAGCAAAGTGTGGAGGAGCTCCATCTTGCA